CCTGAAGTGACTCTCCTAGTAGTTGTTATGGGAGAAATACTCATCATGCTTGTGTGTGGCTTCTCTATCTCAGGCATGGTGGTGTAAGAGTTGGTAAATTTCACCCGGGTCTGTGTCATGCAGGTGATGGTCGGGTAAGTGGTGGTAATTAAAAGGCTGGTTGGATTGGTGCACTCTGTCCTGCTCATATAGACAATCACGGTAGGTGGTGTGGTTTCTACCTTGAAGACCAACTTGGACATGGGGATTGTTGAGGTGTTGGGGTTGATTCGAGAGTTCAGCAATGTTTCAGAAATGGATTTAAAATGGGGGGAAGTGATGATAGTCATAGGTATGTTTTCCCTACTGTCAGGAGTGAGAGAAACAATTTTGGAGATATTCAGTGGCCACCTTCCAGCACCCTTGGAGTGTGAGTAGTTGCTGAGAGCAGCACACAAAAGCGTATTAGAAGTGGATGTGGCCATGGCAGAAGTTCCTGTATTGGTGGTAGAACAGAGGAGTTCATTGGTAGGTCGTTTTGTCACCAGAACACCACATAGGTTACTCACCGCCCCTTTTTCCATATAGGTGTCACAGATGGTAGGAAGTGCCATCACGTATTCCCCCATCGGAGGTAGTTTGGAACCAAGGTTTTTCGAGATTATGAAGGCCAAGATCTGTCTGCTCCCCAGGTCAACATCACCAAGGGGAGTTGGGTGGTGGGCTCCCTTAATCCCTTGCCCACCTCATCTGCATACTGACCTTCCAGCCCTGGGATGGCCACGCTAAGCATGTAGATTCAGCACAGGCTCCTGCCACCTCCCCTCACCACTCCCATCTGCTCCTCCTCACATACCCACTATTCCCTTAGTCTGCTCCCTCCTCTCTCCTTCACCTGCTACCTGAAGCCCTTGTCCCTGCTGGTCCCCCACCCTTTGGCCCACCTCTGCCCCTCTCCCTGTGACCCACTGCTGTCTGGGCTGACTCTTCTCTTTGGAGAGAGAGAGAGAACCCAGCCAAGATTTGGCTGAGGGTGGGACACATCATGGACTTCAGGAAACAAAGGGTTGGAGGGAAAAGTTGCAAAGAGGACAGCAAATGGGAAAACAGAGATTGAATCTCAGAGGCCATTGAGATTGAGGGACAAGGAGACAGGACCACACACAGGCTGAGGGACAGGACAGAAAATGAAGCTTCCAGAAAGAGATACTTCAGCAGGCAGGTATGAGTCCCGGAGATCTTAAGGTGTAACAGTGAGTGTTAATAATAAAAATAGACATATTTTCTATCATTTATTCTATTCAGCCACTGGGTTAATTAGTTTACAAACACAAGTCCCTCACTCTACAAATACTGTCAACCCCATTTTACAGATGGTAAGACTAAGGGTCAAAGATCTCATAATGTTGAGGGTGAGTGGCAGCCACAGAAGTTGCCAGCAGGAAGCACTCAGATCTCCTGCCCACTCAGGGTTCGCTTCCTCTTCACATCAAACTCAGCACATCTTTGCTCTAAGAGTTGGGGTTTCACTTCTCGGCTTAGCTCGGGTATCAGGGAAGAGGGGAGGGGATTCTGAAGATACCTGCCCTAGAGTCCTTACAGCCAGGAAGTGACCTTGGAGGTAAGTGAGAAAGTGGACCACAGACCTCTATGTTGGAGAGGTCTAGGATTGGGGGTCAGCAGCAAGTACTGGGGGGGCAGAGGGAAGGGAAGCACAGAGGAATTCTGAAGTTCCTAAGGGTGTTCTCTGACCCATCCTTTGTGAGCAATCAGGATCTCCCTACCACAACCCTGCCAACGACAGCTGCACCCAGAAACATGGGCTAGGTGGGGACTAGGAGAATTAGGGACAGAGATGGAGGATGGGGCACCGGGACCAAAGGCGGAGACACTCCAGAGAGGAGGGAGCCCCAGGGGCAGAGGCAGGGACTCTCAGGAGGGTTGAACGGATGGAAGTAAAGAGAGGGATAGAGTCCAGGGTGGAGGAAGCAACAGGGCTGGGCAAGCAGGAGCAACGAAAGGGCTCAGAAAACAGAATCAAAGTGGAAAGAGCACTTTTGCAGAAAGAGGTTATCCTACCTTCCTGATGCAAGCACGGACCCCTGCAAAGCTGCTGGGTCCCAGGTAGAGAGCAGCACCAGCTGGACCCAGCTTCCCTCTCCTCCCCCACCTCAGTTCTCCTAGCACCAAGAGCTCTGAGGGAACCTCTCCTCAGCCTCCCCTTAAATCTCAGAGCCACCCACCGACACGCAGCCCTGCCCTGGAACATCAGGCAGATCTCTCCAGCCCTCCCCTTCCGCGCCTCCTCACCTGTGGCCCCCAGGGAGACCCTGAGCATCCAGAGGAGGCGGAGAAGCCTGAGCAGCTGCATGGGCCTGACGCAGTGGAGGCTGGGTGCAGGGCCAGCACCAACACGGCGGACAGCAGCAGGGAGAAAGCTGCAGTGCACAGAACACCCAGCTCAGAAAGTCATCTGCCCTGCTGGGCGTGGGGGCTGAGCATAGCTTCACCTGTGCCCCGCCCCACCTCCCCCTCATCCCCCACTTCTCCCTGTATCTGACGCTGCTAGAGGAAGGGAGGACTTCCTAGAAGATAAGACAAGCCCAGGAGGTATCAACTGGGAAAAGCTGCTGGTGGCCCAACCCCCAGTCTGTGTGGCCCACTCGGAGCAATTCTTAGGACACTGCCTTTCTCTTTCCCTGCTCCCACACCGAGAACTAGCAAAACTGGACAGAGAATACACTTGGCCAAGACATTGGACTCTGGAATCTGGGGTCTCTCCTTAAGTTGCAGTCCCAGCTGCAGCAGGGGGAGTTAAAAACTTCTTCACTTACTCTGCCCCTCCTTCTTCCCCTTCTCCATCCTGCCCTTAGCATGACTCTGGGGACCCCACCTCCAAAGCCAGGGAACAATGCAGAATTCAATCTGAAGTCATTTTAATATCTGAGGATATGGGATGGGTCCCAGAAAAGGAAAAGACAAGTGATGAGTGGAAACAATCAAATCAAATGACTAGTTTTGACCCAGAAGATTAGCAACTGTTAGGAACTTTGATTCTATCCATGTTGGGACAAGTGGGAAGAATAAACACTCTTACCCAGCTGGTGGGAGTGTAAGTGGGTTGGGCTGCTTTAAAAAGGCAATTTGGTGGCATCTATTAAAATTTTAAATGCATGCTCAAGGACCCAGTAATTCCACCTTTCATCTCTGTGTTCAAGAAGCACTTCAAGGAGGTGTTTATAGCCAACCAGTTTATTGCATTTCCAGTAGAAGTTGGAAACTACGCAAATGGCCCTTCATAGGAAACTAGAATGACTATGGAAAAGTCACATGATAGACCACCATTTTCAAGTCAAAAATAATGGTAGGGTCATGGCGGGACTCTTGGAATGTTTTATTCAGTGAAACTAGAAGACGAAATTTTGTTAAAATACACACATGTATGACTCCTGTGCGCACACACACACACACACACAAATTCGGGTATATGTAATGCATTCAAATTTTGCAAAGAGGCTCACCTACTCCAACAACAGGGGAAGATTAGCTCAGAGAAGCATGAAGGAACTAAGGTTGGGAATGACTGTCAGGCAACTTTGACTCTAGCTGTAGTTTTTACTTTTTACTTTGACAAAGGTTGCCTCCTTGACCAAACTCTAGCCTGTCTCCTCTGAGTCCCCTCCTTCACTAAGCCTCACCCTTGATCTATAAAGATTTGAACAGACACAAACACAGTTTCTAACAGCTCAGGGCCACATCCCTACGATGACCCCAGGCCTCCTTATAGTGCCTGCCTGAGAAAACTCAAGACTCAAAAGAATTTACTGTTTGTTCCAGCCAACACCTCAGGATAGGGCTCCTGTCTCCCAGCCTCTGTGGAGGGCAGGAGCCTAACTTTATAAGTGCCAGTTAGCAAATTGGTTGGGTTTCACATGGACCACCACTCTCTTTTGTAATTTTTCACTTTCCCAACACTGCCCAGCCCTTGCTTGCTCCCCTGCCTACAACTTCACTCTCCCTTTAAAACGCCCAGTCACTTCCATGCAAATCAAAGTGGAGGTCAGTTTATGTGAGACTCTTTTTCCCACTGTAATAGCATATTACTGATTAAAACCTGTCCTTACCACTTTAATGTCCAGCTTTGTTTATCTTTGACAACTTGGAGACTCTATTATGTGTTTGAGGGTAATTAAAAAATAATTTGGAGGAGGATTCGGAAGACAGTGGAGTAGGACACACCAGGGATCCATCTCCCCACCTAGATAACAATTGCACTAGCAGAATCTGTCTGATGTAACTATTTTGGAATTCTAGAGTCTGCTGAATGCTTGAAACTTCCAGGGAAAGACCTGGATGGCTCATTTCAAATTTTCAGTCAATTTTGGTCAATTTTAGCTCTTAGCACAGCAGCAGCAGCAGCTACCCATCCCCCTCCAGCCAAATGGCAGGCAGCTATGCATGTGTTCCTGGAGTTGCTTGCACACAGCTTGTGGGAGCTAGGGTAGGCAAAAAGCACCATGGACTCCAAATATCAGGAATCTGTGCTCTGATCCACTGATTGCTGCTTCTGAAATGTAATGCTATCTCTATCAAAATCCCAGTGACATTTTTGAAGAAATAGAAAAATCTATGCTGAAATTCATATGAAATCTTAAGGGATTCTGAATAGTCAAATCACTCTTGAAAAAGAACAAAACTGGAGGAATCCCACTTTCTGATTTTAAAACTTACTCCAGAACTACAATAATCTAAACAGTGTGGCACCAGCATAAAGACAAACACATAGAGCAGTGGAATAGAATACAGAGCTCAGAAGTAAGTCCTCACATAAATGGTCAAACGATTTTTGACAAGCGTGCCAAGATCATTCACTGGGGAAAGAGTAGTCTTTTCAACAAACGGTGCTGGAAAAACTGGATGTCCATGTACAAAAGAATGAAGTTAGAACCTTATCTAATGTCATATACAAAAATCAACTCAGAATCAGGGCCTAAATGTAAGACCTAAAACAATAAAACTCTTATAGAAAACATGGGCAAAACCTTCATGACATTGGATTTGGCAGTGATTTCTTGAATACCAAAGACACAGGTAACGAAAGAAAAAAGGAGACAAATTGGACTTCATGGAAATTTTTGATTTTTGAAATTTTGTGCATCAAAGGACACTATCAGCAGAGTTAAAAGGCAGCTCACGAAGTGGGAGAAAATGTTTGCAAGTCATATATAAGATAAGGGATTAATATCCAGACTACACAGAGAACTCCTAAAACTCAACAACAAAAAAGCAAACCACCCAATTCAAAAATGGGCAAAGGACACAGCTCACAGAGAAAAAAAATGTGACAGTGAATATATATATGTTCATGTATAACTG